TTAAATTTTGAAATTAGTCCATTTACAATTTAAAACAAAAATATCATTTCAAAACCATTTCTTATTTATGAAAAACCATTATTTCCGATTGGTAATTCTGAAATAAAATAGATTAAACCTATCCCTAAATTTCTACTTCAATTAATTTTTTATTATAATTTATTTACGTTACTAAATTTACGATATAAACAAAATTATTCAAATTAATCAAAATTGCTATTGATTTTACATTTTAGAACAAAAGACTTAAGAGAGAAACTTTTTATTTTTTTTAAATTTATATTATTTACATTTTTTTAACCTTGGCTAGCAAAGCTATTAAAATGCACTATTAAGTAATTTTCTCTACAAAACTATTAATTTAAATAATTAACAAATGAAAAATATGAAAAAAAAAATTAATTTACATGTTTAATTATAATTGTAATTACAACATAAATATTAACATAAAAGAGCGTTTTATATATAAACAAAACTTATACACGCAAACTTGTTGTAATTAATAAAATGTGTTTTATGTTTGAATGTATGGTTTGTCTGTAACTGTTTTGAAAAAAAAATTAGTATAACAAAAAATCTGATAGGGTCATCAATTAAGAGAAAAATTTCATTAAGATAAAACAAAAACTTTTGAACAAAACAAATTGACTAATTTAATGTAATAACAAGCTACGACATTGATGACAACTTCATGCCTTTCCTCTTCATTACATCAACTAATATGGGTTACATAATATTAAAATAATGTTGAACTCTTCAATACCATCGGTTTTATATGCTTGTATCATGCAATTACAATGCGTCTATATATAAGTTCATTTCTGATCAGTAATATTACAAATTAATATTGGCTTTAATAATTTACAGTTTACTTCGTGCATGGATTCATAAGCATCAATTTATATGAATACAACGCCACAATATTTTTATAAATATTAATTTTTCAGTTGAATATTAAAGCTGTTATTCAATTGGTATAATAGAAATATGCGTTCCATTTATTGTAGGAATATTTGAACAAAATGGTAATTTTTTTGTATGAAACAAAGAACACTATGTTGTAGGGCAGGCAGCTCCAGCTTCGGTTTCTTCAATTTTAAAAAAGTATTGTAGAATATAATCAGTACTTTTCAAGAATAACAGAAACTTTTTAAGAAATTAATGCGCATGTTACAATCCAATTGATTTTTATCATAATTTCAAAAAATTCGCCATAAATGCAGAACAATTGCCATATCTGAAGAAATAAATTAAATGAAATTTTACGACCATAGAATGTTATTAAACGAAAAATGTATATTTTCTATTCAGTCATTATTTTGCCCTTTAAATTTTGAAACAAAATGAATTGCCGCTTCTATATACATAAAGTAGTCGACAAAATACTTAGCTACATTCTTAACAAGAAATATTTATTATGAAAATTAGCCTCTATGAAGGAATTATAACATTTCAGTCATAAATATACTAAAGTCCCCTATCGGATTCAATTACCGGGAAATGGACGAAAGGACACCATTTTTCACTATTTCTGCGAGTGTCCGGCTCTGGACACGTACTGACTGCTCGCGTCGGGTAGAACAAGTGTGACGGGGCAAAAACGAGATCTGGAATCTACATATATTATTCAAGAGAATCGGGTGGCTGAGATAGGCCACCTGTAATCATATTACGGGGCCCTGTTAGTAAAACGGCACATTTGTACTAATTGGAGTGCGTTCGCCCTGCTGCCTTTTTAAATACTCTTTTAAAATTTCATTTTAAATACTCTTTTGTTTAATAATATTGAGAGTAAAAAAGAGTGTTATATATGCCTAAAAGGAATACGATCAATATGTGAAGAATATTTTAACTTTTTTTTTTTGTTTATTTCAAAACGCATGTACGTTATGTATGTGTGCGTTTCACATTATGAATTCCCCAAAATTATTTTTAATATTTTATTTATTGAAATTTTTTTGGGTGTGAGTTTTTTTATTTTTAAATATTTACATTTATTTTTCTTTTGATATGAAGTACAGTTATAACTTTAATATTTTAATATTTAATTATATTGGAAAAGTGAAAAGAAAAAAAAATTATTATTTTATTAATAAAATTTGAATTTTATATTTGTTTAATAATATTATGACGTTTTATAATTCTTTGGAAAATTTAGTATAGCATTAATAAATATTTAAAATATTTAAATTATAAAGCGACTTTCATTTTTAAATATTTTCTATAAAATATGATGAATAAAAATTCCATTCATAATGACAATAATATTTTTTATCTTGAATTTTTTTAATATTAAATTTGAGAATTTGAGACAATTAGAATAAAATTGACTTCCAATTTCTTTCTACCCAATATATTTCATGTAGGTATTAAGTAAATCACTTATGATTTATTAGCACAAACATAAACTTCATTCAGCTTTTAAGCATTTCATACAATTTTGAACTCATTTCATACAACATCGAACACATTTCATACAATCTTAACGGATTTCATATAATCTTTAAGGCATTTCATACAATCTTTAACACATTTCATTCAAAATTATACAAATACTAATTTTGTAAAAGTTCATACAGAAAATGTTTAAAGTCAGAAATATTCATATGAATTATGTATTAAAGATAACCAACTCTGTTTATCATACTTGTATATTGCTGCTTACGTAAAACTTGAATTTGTTCTGGTTTATTCAGCTTGAATTTAATAATGTTTTTCCTGAAATAAATTTCTAATAGTAACCTTCGTGACTCTTTTATTCCTTAAATTTCATCCAGGTTATGTGATCATTAAAGACCCTCTAGTTCAACTTTGAAAATTGTTTATTTATAAACAAGTATCAGAGAGTTGACATGATTAACTATATTTATACACGTATTCTTAATGCTATTTTCATTTTTACTGTTTTGGCAAATATTACACCTATTTTATTTTTTATACAAATGTACAATTATATTATTATTTTCTTCAAATAAACTTATTATTTTCAAAAAGATTATAGTTAACCATAATAGTCATCATTGAGTTATTAGAGAGACTATCTAGGTGATAGTAATAATAATATAGTAGTTAGTGAAATTACTATATTTGGCATAGTGATAAATTTAAAAATACTTGATAATTTTACAAACACTTTGAGCAAAAAAAATAATAAAACTCAGGATGATTGTAGATAAATTTCAAAATTATTGTTTTGTTTAAGCATAATTTGTAATTTTTTAAGGTGTGATTTACAATTTCATACATAATAATACAATCAAGTGAATGTGTAAAAAAATTGTTGTTTGGGTCTCTTCTTCATGAAGAAAAATTAGTATAGAAAAATTTAATTTTTTTTATTGTTTTCCGAATTTTTTTTATACGTATGTGAAATTTTGTCGTTGTTTTTTAACTATATGACACAAGATTTTTATATATGTTTGAAATGAATATGAATTATGTTTGAAATAAGTATGAATATTAAGGTTAAATTTCAAGTTCATATGATTTTATTGTACAAGAAAATTAGTATGTGCCTCCAATTCATACCAATAATTTGTGTTATATAATTTAAATAGAATTATAATAATTAAAAAAAAAATGTGTAAATTGTAAAAAAAATAATTATTATATTTTTGTATGAAATGTATGCCCGTATGATTTCATACAAATATTTCGCCAAAAAAATTGAACTATTTAACGACTACATACGAATTACATACAATAAGGGAGGTATGTGATTGCACCAAATTTTACATGTTGAGTTTTTGATGGAAATGCCTCTTCTCTGTATGAGGGAAGCGTAAATAAAATATTTTTAGAAAGATATCTGCCGGTTTGTCGGGTTATCTGGCAGTCCGTCTGGGCACATCTGTATCTCAATTTCAATTTGGACTGAATCGATTTCTATAAAAATTTATATCCGAGTTTGATTTGGCTATGTCACGGTTTGATCAACTTTTGGCATATGCCTGGTCTCGGGAACTAAACGTTTTCCACTGGTCAAATTTTCATTTTTGCGGCTATAAAGAGAAATAATCAACCGATTTCTTTTAAATTTAATATGTGAATTCATAGGAAGTTGCGAACGATGAACCTATAAAAAAATTTTTTGGGAATGTCAGGGTTCGGAAACCGAACTAGGGGCTGAATCTTTAAATATACCATTTTTTAGTGATTCAAACTGCAAAACTCTGCAAAATTGTTGAAGGCGACTCTGGGAAATTACTCCTTTTGAAAAATACACTTTCAATGACAATTACAAGGAATGCGTAATTCTCATTCCAATATTGAAAACCAAAACAAGTCACGTTTTTTACTTAAGTCAACTGTGGCGATTTTACAGGACCACAGAATTTTTCAATGGAATTTATTTTCACATGTTTTTCTATTAAATCAAAAATTTTTTACAATTTTCAAGTTATGGTAAGAGTCAAGAGGTTATAAAAAAAATTTCCTTATAAAATTATTTTCAAAATGGACTAGATACTTTAATGAAAATTTAATTTGAGTATTAAAAGAAATTTTTGAAGCTTAAATTGTAAATTACATAATTGAATAAAATTTTGAACTTGATTACTTTACTTCTCTTTTTTTTGTTCCTCATTATTCAAAAAAATTTTATACAAAAAAATTGATATGCAAATTATTTTATAGCTTGATTTCTCTTATAAAATTTTCGAATTCCTTAAAGGTAAAATTAAATTGGAACAAAAGATTTTTCAATTTTTTTATGGTAGACAATGAACTGTACTGAAATCATATAATCAAAACGCCTCCAATTTTTTTTTCTCTTATTTTTTTTTTAAGACAGGTAACATTTTAATTTTAGGATTATTTAATGTATTGTTTGTTATTCTTTTCATTTCACATGGAAGAAAAAGAAAAAAAAAAAATTACATAACCTTTTGCAATTCTATAAAAATATTTAATTAAAACCAAAGCCCTATACATATACATATACATATATATATTTCTTATACCGGGCTTATGTACCTGTCTTATTTAAAATTATTAATTACCTATATTTCCAATCCATTTTACTTTTATGTAAATATAATGATAATAATGGTACATCAGATATTTCAGTTTCATGACCGCCAGCTTCCATTAATAAAATTTTCCAATTTGGTATTTCTGATAGACGTGATGCTAATACACTACCAGCTGAACCGCCACCAATAATAACAAAATCATATTCTCTATGTATCATCTTAATATTAAATGGCCGATTTTCAGGATCAAATAAATCATAATTATAATATGCTATGGCAGCTATTAAAATTGGTAATATTGTTAATTTACCTATACCTATTAAAGCTGTAGCTGCTTTTATGGCTGTTGTTACGGCAATACCTAATTTTGTTGTTACTGTTGTAATACTAGCTGCTGCAATACCAGCACTAGCACCACTTGATGCTTTAAATATTGCACCACCAATATGTGGTACAAGACCAGATAAAAAATGAAGAACCATTATTTTTTTTAATTATTCTTTTTGCTTTTAATCAATAATTTTTTTTTTTCTTCAAATTGTCCTTTCTCAATTTTATATTGTACAATAGATTTTAATTGAAGGATTTCTTGATGGTGACTGGTGAATGGTAGGGTGCGGTTCTTTAAGGAGTGCAAGTTATATATTCGCTTACGCCCGGAACACCAAAAAATAAAATTTAACTATAACTAAAATTAAATCGAACGTTGCGATCAAATTTCCATACTTTATTACTTAAACCTATTCTAAATCATTTAATCGCAACGTGATTTGACAAAAACAAAATATTTATTTTAAATTAAAATTAAAATTCAACGTTGCAATTAAACTCCTATATGAAATCATTTAATTGCAACGTGATTGAACTTTTACAGACAAAACTAAAGCAAAGTTCCAAATATTCAAATTACAATATTAAAACTTTCCCATGAGAATTATTCTAAACAATTTTTTGCTTACTAAACAGTTATTTCTTATAAATAGAGTAAATTCAATAGCAACTTTGCTTGGTTGGTAATTCAGTAGCTCGTTAGTTATTAAATCGTTTTGCCGTTTAGAAAATAAAGATTTAAAAATAAAGTTAATAAGTTTGGAATTAGAAATTAAAGTGTAATTAATTAATAAATGAAATAAAAAGAACTTTTATAAATCTTAAAATATTTTTTGTGTAAAGTAAAAACTTATAGTTTAATTTAATAAGTTTGGAATTGGAAATTAAAGTGTAATTAATTAATAAATGAAATAAAAAGAACTTTTATAAATCTTAAAATATTTTTTTTTGTGTAAAGTAAAAACTTATAATTTAATTGGCGCAGTCGGTAGGATACCGACTCCGTCTATAAAAACAAAAAAAAAAAAATCTAAACAAAAAAAAAAGAAAACACTAATATTTTTCTTAAGTCAATTTAAATGAACAAAAAACTAGAAAATAAAATAGTGTAATGCTCAAACCATTAAGCAAAATTAAATAATAATAATAAAAAAAAAAATTTTGTGGTGAACTGAGTGATAAAAGTTTAGTTGCGTAAAGGCGGAGAACTTTTTTCAAAAAGTTAATTCGGTAAATAAACGAACAAAAATTATAAGTAAAACACAAATAAAATATCTATTAAAAGATCTTTAATCAAATCAAATTTTACAACTAATTAAATTGATAAAACAAAAATTATAAAAAGAGGAAAAAAAAAAAAAAAAAAAAAAAAAACCAAAATATTTTTTTTTAACATTTATGAAGAAAAGTGAAAAAGAAAAATACTTTGATAATCTAAAAAATATACAAAAAAATTTTAACATGTCACTTGCTGCAATTACATTAAAAGACTTGATAGGCGAAGCTCGTTCAGTACCAATTTTTACTGGACAAGACGCCTACAGTCTAAAATCCTTCATCGAAGAAGTCGAAAGTTTAATTGCCTTAGCAGCGGATGCCGATGCAAAAAACTATCTATACAGAATTTTGTACAGCAAGATCCAGGGTCCTGCAGCGGCAGCAATCCGGAGAATTCAGGAAAAAACTTGGGACGAAGTAAAACAACAACTGAAAGCTACCTTCGGAGTACAGAAATCTTATTTGAAATTAAAAGAAGAAGCAGACTGTATAATTTTTAGAAATGTAAGTGATCTTTATGTTAAATTAAATTCCATATTAAATTTGTTAAATTTAAAATATGATTTGGATGACAATAAATCTTCAGAATTTAATCCAATTAATAATGAAAATTCAATATTAGAAAAATTTTTGAATAAATTAAATAGAGTAGACTCAATGTACCTTAGAACTAAAAATGTAACAACATTAGAAGACGCTTATAGAAGCTTATTAGAAACCAATATATCCGACAGCAAGGTTCCAAACACCAACTCTCAGTATAGGAACAATAATCATACAAATTACAGAAATAACCATAACATAAATTCTAGACATAGTAGTAATAATACAAATTCCAGAAATAACTATAGAAACGCAAATAGAACTTTCAACAATAACAATTACAATAACAACATAAGAAACACTTACACAAATAGACCAATGGACAGAAACTACACTACTAACGAAAAGTTTAGGAATTTTAGGCCCAACCAACAATTTGGTGGTACAGGTAATAATCTACCAGGACCATCTTATAACGAAAATCGGTCAAGTCCAGTTCCAATGGATGTGGATTCGGGTTCCACAGAAAATTTTCACTGTGGTCCCCCTATCCGACATTACCCTTAGTAGACTTAACAATAGAAGGCAAAAAGCTGACCTGTCTGATCGACACAGGATCAGTTACTTCAATTATAAACGGCAATATTTTTGATCGATCTAAACAAAACAAATTAGAAAATCCAATTCAATTAAAAACGCTCGCAGGAAACCAAGCCATTAAATACGAAATAACTACAAAAGTACCTGACGAGTTCAATGAAAATTCAACTATGTCCTGGAAAGTAATGGATCTTAGCAATAAAAACTTTGACGCTCTCTTAGGCCAAAATATTTTAAAACCAATAGGAGCAAATATTAATCTTTCAAAGGGGCGGTTAGAACTTAACAACCGTAATATTAAATTTAATTCAGCTTGTCCTTTTGAAAACACTTGTCAAATAGAACCTTTACAAATCAACCATAATGAATTATTTGAAAAATTATTAAATAAAAATATGAATAGAGAAGAAACTAAATCATTAAAATATATTTTAAACTCTAATAGGGATCTTTTCTATAAAGAAGGAGATCGATTAACATGTGTCAAAAGTGTAAAACATCAAATAATTACAACTACTTCCCGACCGATTTATAGTAAAATATATCGGTTTCCAAAAATACATGAAGGGGAAGTAAATAAGCAAGTTCAGGAAATGTTAGAGCAAAATATTATTCAACCATCCAGTAGCCCTTATAATAGCCCTATATGGGTAGTACCCAAAAAATTGGACTACTCGGGGAAACAAAAATGGCGCATTGTCATCGACTACCGTAAATTAAATGAAATTACGGTTGATGACAAATTCCCGATACCGAATATAGATTCTATATTTGATAAATTGGGTCGCGCTCAATATTTCACCACTCTGGACCTCGCAAAGGGGTTTCACCAGATATTGGTGGATGAAAAAGATCGTCTAAAGACCGCGTTTTCTACACCGCAAGGTCACTTTGAGTTTGTACGGATGCCATTCGGACTAAAGAATGCTCCGGCAACTTTTCAAAGGATGATCAATTACGTTTTAAAGGACTTTATCGGGCGAATTTGCGTTGTCTATCTAGATGACATCCTTATTTTCTCTACATCACTACAAGAACACCTCTCAGCTATTAATAAAATATTTTCAAAATTAAGAGAGTTCAATCTAAAAATCCAAGTGGATAAGTGCAAATTTTTCTCTAAAGAGACAGAGTATTTAGGACACATATTAACACCAGAGGGAATAAAGCCAAACGAAGATAAAATTAATGTAATTAAACAAATCAAACTGCCTAAGACTCCCAAGCAGATAAAAAGTTTCCTAGGCATTACGGGGTACTATCGCAAGTTCATCAAGGACTATGCGAAAGTAGCTCAGCCTATGACTAAATATTTGAAAAAGGGAAATAAAATCAATGAAAATGATATACAATATAAAGACTCCTTTCAAAAATTAAAAGAATTGATTACAACTTATCCTATACTTCGTTACCCTGATTTTAAAAAGAAATTTGTATTAACGACGGACGCGTCCAACTTTGCGGTTGGAGCAGTCCTATCACAAGAAAACCACCCAGTCTGCTTCGCTAGCAGAACCCTTAATAATCATGAATGCAATTACTCTACTATAGAGAAGGAACTTCTTGCCATAGTATGGGCCACTAAATATTTTCGGCCATACTTATATGGTACAAAATTTTTAATAAGAACAGACCACCAACCCTTAAAATGGTTGCATTCACTAAAAGAACCAAGCGCCAAACTACAAAGATGGCGAATCAGATTAAACGAATACGACTTCGAAATAGACTATGTAAAAGGAAAAGAAAATCGTGTTGCTGACTTTTTAAGTAGAATGGATTCTACAAATAATGAAATTAATCATATAGATGACCCTAACGAAACACCTTCTAATAATTCAGTTATAACAACAAACCATAGTCGCCATGAAAATCAATTCCCAACATCCGATATAATAACTAATAAATATTTGACGCAGCTTTATTTGACAAAAGAAAAAGAAAGGGAAATAATTATAAAATATAAAAAATTTAGACAAATCTTTATTAGTGAAAATGAAATCAATAATAGCCATTATTTAAATGACATACTTAGACGATTCATTAGAAATGGAATAACTGCTATCTATTCCGAATTAAATGATGAAAAATTTGATATAGTAAAACAGAAACTCACGGAACTCTTTTCTAATAATAATAAAATGAAATTCATAAAATGTACTAAAAAAGCAATAGACATAGAAAATGAAGAAGAGGCCTTAAAATTAATAGAAAAAATTCATAAAGAATCAAACCATCGAGGTATCGTTGAAAATTATACAGAAGTGAAAGATGAGTTTTTCTTCCCTAAACTTAAGGAACTATTTCATAAGTATATAAACGGTTGCGACATATGTAATCAATCAAAATATGATCGCAAACCAAATAAATATGGATTCGAAATTTCCGAAACCCCGAGCTCTCCTAATAAAATAATACACGTCGATTTATTTTTCTGTTATAAGGAAATATTTCTTACAATAATTGACAAATTCTCAAAGCATTTAATGGTCCAACGTCTCAATGACCGAAATGCAACTACTATTATACAAGCACTTCGCAACAGGTTTGCACTATTCGGTAGGCCAGATAAAATCGTTGTCGACAATGAGTTCGATAGTCTTAATATCAAAAACTTCTTTAGAACAGAAAATATAAACGCTCACTTTACGTCACCCAGAAGCCATACCGGAAATTCTACAATCGAACGAGCTCACGGAACTTTAAGCGAACACCTTCGTATCTTAGATAC